TGAAGCAGAAACTCAAGAATCTTCTGAAATACCATACACCTCCGTACCTGAGCAAAAAGAACCTATCCGTGAGTCAATAGGAGAGTGTATGATGGATACAGAAGCAGTAGAATTTTCTGTAACAGAGAAACAAGAATCAGACTGTGAGTCACCTGGAGATAAAATTATAGTTACAGAAACAGAAGATTTAACAGAAAGCGAAAAACATAAAACATGTTATGAACAAGAAGTAGAGTGTGTTATAGATGCACAATGTGAAAATGAAATACCATACATTAAGCAAAAAGATGAACATGGTATTGAAGCAGAAGCTCAAGAATCTTCTGAAATACCATACACCTCCGTAGCTGAGCAACAAGAACCTATCAGTGAGTCAATAGGAGAGTGTATTGTGGATACAGAATTAGTAGAATTTTTTGTAACAGAGAAACAAGAATCAGACTGTGAGTCACCTGGAGATAAAATTGTATTTACAGAAACAGTAGAATTAACAGAAAACGAGAAACAAAAAACATGTTATGAACAAGAAGTAGAGTGTGTTATAGATGCACAAAGTGAAAATGAAATACCCTACATTACGCAAAAAGATGAACATGATAATGAAGCAGAAACTCAAGAATCTTCTGAAACACAATATAACCCCGTACCTAAGCAACAAGAACCTATCAGTGAGTCAATAGGAGAGTGTATTATGGATACAGAAGCAGTAGAATTTTCTGTAACAGAGAAACAACAATCAGACTGTGAGTCACCAGGAGATAAAATTGTATTTACAGAAACAGTAGAATTAACAGAAAGCGAAAAACAAAAAACATGTTAGACGAGTAGAGTGTGTTATAAGATGCACAAAGTGAAAAATGAAATATCCTACATTAAGCAAAAAGATGAAGATATTAATGAAGCTGAAACTCAAAGAATCTTCTCAAAACACAATATAACCCGTACCTGAGCAAAAAGAACCTATCAGTGAGTCAAAGAAGAGTGTAATTATGGATAAGAAGCAGTAGAAATTTTTCTGTACGAGAGAAACAAAACAATCCGACTGTTGAGTCACCAGGGAGATAAATTTATAGTTACAGAAAACAGTAGAAATACAGAAAAGCGAAAAAAACAAAAAGTAATGTTATGAGAAGGAGAGAGTGTGTTTTAGATGCACAAAGTGAAATTGAAATATCCCTACATTAAGCAAAAAGTGAACATGATAATGAAGCTAACCAAGAATCTTCTAAAACACAATTAACCCCGTACCTGAGCAACAAGAACCTATCAGTGAAGTCAATAGAAGAGTGTAATTATGGACACAGAGCCGTAGAATTTTTCTGTAACAGAGAACAACAGTCAGGCCTGTGAGTCCCAGGAGATAAAATATAGTTTACAGAAACAGAAGATTTAACAGAAAGCGAAAAAAAACAAAAAACATGTTATGAACAAGAAGTAGAGTGTGTTATAGAGCACAAAGTGAAAATGAAATAGCCACGTTGAGCAAAAAGATGAACATGATAATGAAGCAAGAAAGCTCAGATCTTCTGATACCAACATACACCTCCGTACCTGAGCAACAAGAACTATCAATGAGTCAATAGAACGAGTGTTTATGATACAGAAGCCAGTAGAATTTTCTGTACAGAGAAACAACAATCAGGCTGTGAGTCACAAGGAGATAAATTATAGTTACAGAAACAGAGAATTAACAGAAAGCGAAAAACAAAAAGTATGTTTATGAGCAAGGATAGAGTGTGTTTAGATCACAAAGTGAAAAGAAATATCTACGTTAGGGCAAAAGATGAACATGATATGAAGCGAAACTCAAGAATCTTCTGAAAACACACATACCTCCGACCTGAGCAACAAGAATCCTATCAGATGGTCAATAGGAAGGTGTATTATGGATACAGAAGAGGTAAATTTCCTGTAGCACGAAGAGCAAGCAAATCAAGACTGTGAGTCACCATGAGATAAATTATGGTTACAGAACAAGTAAGAATTACAGAAAGCGAATGACAAAAAGTAGTGGTATGAAAAGATGGTGTTGTAGAATGCACAAAGTGAAATAGAAATATCTACATTAAGGACAAAGATGAACATGATAATGAAGCAGAAACTCAAGAATCTTCTGAAACACAACATAACTCCGTACCTGAGCAACAAAATCCTATCAGTGAGTCAATAGGAGAGTGTATTATGGATACAGAAGCAGTAGAATTTTCTGTAACAGAGAAACAACAATCAGACTGTGAGTCACCAGGAGATAAAATTGTATTTACAGAAACAGTAGAATTAACAGAAAACGAGAAACAAAAGCATTATGACAAGAGTAGAGTGGTTATAGATGCACAATGTGAAAATGAAAACCATACATTAGCAAAAAGATGAACATGATAATGAAGCAGAAACTCAAGAATCTTCTGAAATACCATACACCTCCGTACCTGAGCAACAAGAACCTATCAGTGAGTCAATAGGAGAATGTATTATGGATACAGAAGCAGTAGAATTTCCTGTCACAGAGAAACAACAATCAGACTGTGAGTCACCTGGAGATAAAATTATAGTTACAGAAACAGAAGAATTAACAGAAGCGTAAAACAAAACGTGTTATGAACAAGAAGTAGAGTGTGTTGTAGATGCACAAGTGAAATGATATCCTACATTAAGCAAAAGATGAACATGATAATGAAGCAGAAACTCAAGAATCTTCTGAAACACAACATAACTCCGTACCTGAGCCACAAAATCCTATCAGTGAGTCAATAGGAGAGTGTATTATGGATACAGAAGCAGTAGAATTTTCTGTAACAGAGAAACAACAATCAGGCTGTGAGTCACCAGGAGATAAAATTATAGTTACAGAAAAGTAGAATTAACAGAAGCGAAAAACAAAAGTATGTTATGAGAAAGGAGAAGAGTGTGTTTAGAATCACAAAGTGAAATAGAAATATCCTACATTAAGCAAAAAGATGAACATGATAATGAAGCAGAAACTCAAGAATCTTCTGAAACACAACATAACTCCGTACCTGAGCCACAAAATCCTATCAGTGAGTCAATAGGAGAGGTATTATGGATACAGAAGCAGTAGAATTTCTGTAACAGAAGAAACAACAATCAGACTGTGAGTCACCAGGAAGATAAAATTGTTATTTACAGAAACAGTAGAATTAATAGAAAGCGAAAACAAAAAACATGTTATGAACAAGAAGAGAGTGTGTTATAGATGCACAAGGAAATGAAATATTCCTACATTAAGAAAGATGAACATGATAATGAAGCGAAACCAAGAATCTCTAAAACACAATATAACCCCGTATCTGAGCAACAAGAACTCATCAGTGTGAGTCAATAGAAGAGGTTTATAGATAGCAAGAAGCAGAAGAATTTTCTGTACAGAGAACAACAATCAGAGCGTGAGCACCAGGAGATAAATTATAGTTACAGAAACAGTAGAATTGACAGAAAGCGAAAACAAAAAACATGTTATGAAGCAAGAGTAGAGTGTGTTATATATGCACAAAGTAAAATGAAATACCATACATTAAGCAAAGATGAACATGATAATGAAGCAGAACCTCAAGATCTCTGAAATACCATACACCTCCGTAACCTGAGCAAAGAACCTATCAGTGAGTCAATAGGAGAGTGTATTATGATAAGAACAGTAGAATTCCTGTCACAGAGAAACAACAATCAGACTGTGAGTCACCTTGGAGATAAATTATAGTTACAGAAACAGAAGAATTAACAGAAAGCGTAAAACAAAAAGTGTATAACTAAAGAAGTAGAGTGTGTTGTAGATGCACAAAGTGAAATAGAAATATCCACAATTCAACAAGATGAAATGAATAATGAAGCAGAAACTCAAGAATCTTCTGAAACACCACATAACTCCGTACCTGAGCAACAAAATCCTATCAGTGAGTCAATAGGAGAGTGTATTATGGATACAGAAGCAGTAGAATTTTCTGTAACAGAGAACAACAATCAGACTGTGAGTCACCAGGAGATAAAATTGTATTCAGAAACAGTAGAATTAACAGAAAGCGAAAACAAAACATGTTATGAAATATCCAATTAAGCAAAAGATGAACATGATAATGAAGTGAAACTCAAGACTTTCAAACACATAACCCGATCTGACAACAAGACCTATAGTGATCAAAGAAGAGTGTATATGGATACGAAGCGTAGAATTTTGTGTAACAGAGAAACAAAATCAACTGGGAGTCACCAGGAGATAAATTATAGTTACAGAAAGAGAATTAACAGAAAGCGAAAACAAATGAGAGAACAAGGAGTGAGTGGTTAGATGCACAAGTGAAATGAATACCTTATTAAGAAAAGCTGAACATGATAATGAAATAGAAATCAAAATCTCTGAAAACACCACAGATCTCCCTAATTAAAAACAAGAACCTATCAGTGAGTCAAAGGAAATGGTATACGATACAGCAGCATTAGAATTGTTTAAAGAGAAATGGAAAACAAAAAACTCTGCAATGAACCTGAAAGAAAATCTTTTATAATACAGAAGGTGAAACTCGAACATATTCAGTAAGCAAAAGAAGAGTGTGCCAATGAGACTCATGAGTCTTCGAAACTTATACATCTCTGAAATTGGTAAACAGGGACCCCAGCAGTACACCAAGAGTAGACAATGTTATAAATACAGGGTGTGAATATATAATATCCTACAGAGACAAAAACAGGACTGTGCCAATAATAAACACTCAGTAATCAAAAGAAAATGGTTTAAGGAATACAGATGAAATAGATTTCTCCGCTACAGAGTGTGTTAAGGATACCCAAACGATAACAGAACTGAAGACCAAAGAATTTCTAAAACATCGTACACTTCCGAAATCAAAAAGAGTCCATGAGTGATGTAAATGACACAGAAACAAGGAGTTATATGCCATCAGAAAATAGGAAGCAGAAACCATGCAATAAATTAGAAGGGACGGAGATAACTCACGAGCTTTAGAAAGAAGAACAAAATCTGATAGTGAAATAGGAGAAGTATATGTCAATAATATGGAAAGCGCACAGCAACCACACAGAAGGCGAATCCCCTTGTGACACAAAGAAGTATGTGTTAGTAATACAGATGTATTAGAGATCCTCTGAAACGCCAAACAAGTTACGAAGTAAGAAACATGAAACTGACAGTGAATTAGAAAGAATGTTTGTTATGAAATAAATGCTCTAGAAACAACTGAATAGGTCAAATTTAAAACAGAAACTTAAACCTAAGATGGAATCTTTACTACTTTATGAAACACAATCGGCAATTGAAATGGAGGAAACTCTTTCAGTGGGACAGAAGGGCATGACATCATTAAAACGAACAACAGATCTAGCAGAATAAAGAAGAGTGTGAAAATGCACTGCACTCTGAGCTCGAAACCGAAGCCAAGATTTTGCAGTTCAGTTATGAATTTGGGACAACAATTGGGAGCACAATTAATAAAAAAGAGCTGGTACCTTTTATTGAACCTATTGTGGATAGTGATCAATCTTTATTTTCGGACACATCGCACATTTCTGAAAGGGAGACACAAAATTCGTGCTTTGAGAATGAACAAATTCTTCATTGAGAATATCAAATCAGGTTTATACCATTGATACAGAAGTTTTCAGAAAAAAAATACCAACTGTGACATTTGGTAAGGCAGAACAGGAAAGTCGAGCAAAACCTGAGGAAAAATACAGAATCAAAGACTACCAATAGAAACAACAAACAATAGATAGTAAAATTGCTAATATTTGTATTTGTAGAAAAGTCATCATCGAGTCTAAGATTTACACGAGTCTGCTACAGAAACTAATTGGCATAAACTTGTTTATCTGATTACAATTTACAAATCGTCAACCTCATACCAAGTCTATCTCTTAATGTAGACCACTTTAAAGCAATTGTAAAATGTTAGAAAATGTGAAAACTGGAGAAACTATTGAAAGCCTTAACACCAGCAATGCGAAAATATTAATGAGAGAAGAGCTAGAGGATAAATCTCGACTTTATTAACTTTGGAATAGTATAGCCAACGATTTCCTGTAAATCAATCTGAAACTGTAAAAAAAATTGTCAATTATCGACATCTTGAATCTTCAAATTTGATATCAACATTAAATACGATATAAACTCAGAAACAACTTTTATAAACGATAACAATACTGCTAGTGTCGTGGCTGAATCGTCTGACGCCGTTCAACCCTAATGGAAGCGGTACATCGTTATTGAATTATTATCAAGATTAAATAAACCAGTAACGCACGCAGCTTGGCAAGCAGTCGCATAAAATCGACGAACATCGGCGATGAAAAAGTTCACTTCGAACAATGATGTATATGCTAAAATGTGCAAAACATTAATAAACGATAAACGACTTTTGGCTTCGCTCGAAAGCGACGTCCGTCAAACCGAGATCATCAAAAGTATCTGCGTTCCATGATTCCTTTGAATTAGAATATGATTATTTTAAGCAAGATTTACTCAAGAAACAAGCATTCAT